TGAATGTGTGTGCATATATAATTATTTTATTATATTTTTAGTTTTATTGTATTGTTTTTATTTAATTATTTATCATTTAAAAATATTTAATAATAATAATAATAATAATTGTTATTATTATTAGTATTAGCCGTATTAGTGGCATATACGTAATTAATTATATTATTATTTATTTATTTGAAGGATTTTATTCCATCATTCTCATACAAAAACATTATTATTATTATTTATTTATTTTATTTTATTCCAGCATTATCATACACATTTTTTTTGCTGTTTTTTAAAAGTGTCTTGTGTTCTTAAAGTTTACAATTATTTTACATTAATTCTGAAAGATTGATCAACTATTTGACAATGAAAATCTTTTACATTTTGAAATATTTAAAAGATATTGTCAATAATGTTGACTAAATTGTTTTCCACTTATCCAATAATTGTCTTGTGCCAGTCCTCATTTAATATAATACTTCTTCATGTTTCTTTTTAGTAATTTTGGCTACAATACGACTAAACTAGGATGGGTAAATACTGTAAATATTGACAATTGCAAAGTCAGCATGGTTCAACTTATCGTGAAAAGTTAGGTCAAAAAAGGCCACATAACTGACTTCCTTCACCAGAAGGAAATCTAGACTTCATTCTCCAGTATAATAGATTTCACGGCTTAAAATAGAAGGTGGCTGTCAGAGCACCTGCACTTCATACCTTAGTAAATTGGTCCCCAAGTGTTTCTGTGTGTACTTTAACCTACCAGTGAAAACCATACCTGGAGAAGATGACAGGTCTTCTCTTAACCACCATTCATGTTTTTGTCTTTAATAACATGTCTGAAAGAGAGAGAGAGAGAGAAGGAGCAAGGCACAGGGAAGAGTTTTAATACCCCTGCTGTTAAACACTCTGGCAGTAGTTGTGTTTGGCCTCAAATCATGACAATGGAAAAAGGAGATGCTATAAAACAGCAGTGTGAACTTTATTAATACATTTCATCTCAGGGCGAGGTAGACTGTACAAGCACCAGGAAATGAAACCCTCTATTAACCTCTCACAGCATGTGCCTGAATTAGTAGTGAGCATTAGCCTGCTTGTGTCGAGAGATTCAGAAGTCAAGGTCAAATAACATCAGAATTACACACTATTTTTTAATGACAGTCCATGCAGAAAGATGCTTTTCCCTCAGAATCCTAACCAGCCAAACCCTGACCCTAGGTTGTTTTTAGCTGCCTTGAAGCTCTTATGGACACAGTCAAAATGAATATTTAAGACAAGAATTATAGAAAAAGATCACAAACTATTTAGTCATTGCTTTTTTACAAAGGATTTAGTTAGCCTATTTTTAACTTGTATGAGAGTCCAGCTACATAAGCTCATTATCAGTCCTGGAACAATGACAGCTGTTCATATGTGAACATTATATGTAAATAATGTCCCATATATAGTTTGAGGTGCTTCCTCTGTGCATGTGTGATGCAGAAGATGCCTTTGCTGGAAGATGATGCATGCTTTCACTGGATTGACTTTCTCTAGTACTGAATAAAACACTTTAGAAACAGTCTCTTGATATGTCTTGATCCAACGCAGTAAGTTTGCATGGGGGCTCTGTTTATTTATGTACTCTAGACCCTGCTCTTCACCCTCTGAAATATTGGATTTCAGATATTTTGTTTTCCTTTCATGCACCTGAAGTTGCACCAGAACAACCATTCAACACTTTTAAGTTGATGAGAGCCAGAAGTGCTCCAAATCCCCTGCCTGCTCTGATTTACCACCTTATCCGAGATCCCAATGCTTAACTAACTGCTGTCATATTGTTTCAATCATTGTGACATAGTGTGTATTAGGTCTGGGCGATATAACTAAAGTTATTTTTTCATTCTTTTTCACATTTTGACAATATTTTAATGTATATCTTGATCTTTGCTTAAAAGCGTT